TGTTTGTAACATTTTTAGTTTTCTTTAGTGGTGTGACAATACAAACCAGGGGCTCACAACTACTCATGAAATTCCTACCTCTGAGATCACTCATAGCCTTTAGTATATGGTATTTCTGATGGTCATCTAATCACAGATCTGATTTAAAATGCCAAGAATAAAAAGGGACTGATTGCATCCTCTTTATTTGCCCAGGTGTAGTGTGTCTATTAGAATAACATCTGGACTAACCTGAACACTCAGGAGAACTTATTTCCAGAGCTGTGAGTGTTAGAATAAACCAGGGATCATTTCTAAACTATCCTTTGTATGTTTTGCATAAGAATATGCTGATATTTAATAATAACCATGGAATTATTTCCAAGTCCTCAACAAAGCAGTAAAAATGAATTTTCAAAAGGGCTCCTGTACCATTTTCATAGTTTGTAGATGAAAGTATGGACTGATAACATAATAGAAAAATCAATGGAATAGCAAGCATATGTATGTAGTAATTTTTAAGAGTTATCAAATATCTAATCACACTAGAAGAATGGCACCCTATCAGAAAATGTTCTTGGTCTGAGAAGTTTTATATTCTAACTTTCTCAATAGGAAAGTTTCTCTGACACAGGACATGAGAGCCAGAGATTCAGTGGGTTTTGTTTGATTGGTTGGTTGGGGTTTTATTTTGTTTTGATTTCAGATTTCATTGGTGTGCAGAGCTTATCCTGTTTTGTCAGTAGGAAGCAGGTTCTCTTACACAGGGCAGCCTTGTCAGCCTTGCTGCCATTTCTTGAGATGACCCATTCCCTCAGTCCCCTCAGGGAAAGAGTAGGACTGAGAAACCCTGTCTGATCGAGGCCTGAAGGTGGCTGGGGTAGTTAGGGTAGGCATCCCTTTACTTACCCATCAAGAAGAATTGTGGACTGGATGGTATTCATATAACAAAAGATCAGTTAGCAAGAAAAAAGCATGGCATATTGATTTGATCTAAGATGCCTATGCAGGGGAGACTTCAGAAAGCTAGCCTTATAGACTGTGGGCAATTGCCACTTTCATGCTTAGGTTTCATCCAACCATGGACACCTCTTTGGAAATGTCACTGGGAAGAATGGCCTGATAAATGAGTAACAAATTGATGGAGGGTAACCCAGCAAGGCCTACCTAAGATAGGGAGGGTAGCCAGGTTGGAAACATTTTCAGCTAGTAATAGACTAAGCATCAACAGGAGAGAAAGAAGAACTTAAGAAAGTGGCCGCAGACATGCTGTAGTTGGGGTTGACAGCCTGATGGTCACCACTGCTGAGTCAAGAAAGCTGCAGAATAAGGAATGACAAATGATGATACTTAGATTTGAAGATTGAAAATCGACTACCAGATTTGAAAACAGGGATGGTATGGAAGTCTGTGGCTAGGGTGTGGCCAGGAGACTTGGTAAATGAGATGTCAGATGCATGGTGATATATGTCACAGTGGAGCTGGGTATGTATCTTAGTGGTAGAGTATTTGACTAGCATGTACAAAGTCCTGGATTCAGTCACCAGTACTGACAAGAACAGTCTAATTTTCTTAAAGCACTAGTAGAGTTGTATACTCCGAAATAACTAAAAGTATAAATAATGTATGAACCAATGACCTGCTCAGTGAGCACTGATAACAGATGCTATGCACTGCACATGGTTGTATGTGATGAATGTTGATGCCACTGGCCGCATAGTATGCTTGTTTACACCAGTGTTATAGGGTCATGTGACACTATGGTGGCTGTGGTGTGACTAGACACTAGGACCATTTTGGCCCCCTTACAGACTGTCCAGATTGTTGTCCTGAATGTGGTTCCCAAATCTGCACCATGTCCTTTGTATAGATGAGGATACTGAGACAGGGGCCAAAACTGTGACATACCTTAGGTGGCACTGTCATTAGCTGGCAGCATTGTGGTTTAACCCCGCAAAAGTTGGTGATACAGTTTGCACCCCACATTGCTTTGTCTCAGTTCTACCTGACACCAGAAGTTGTCACAGCTTTCCTTCAGTGCCTGGAATGTGGATGGAACAGCATCCCACTCCAGAAACTCACTGGTGGTCCGTAATTTGTGTCGAAGAGCAAGACTCAATGTCTACCTCTTCCTGGCAGCCATTCCTGTAGCTTCCTGGAGACATGGAAAAACAGAGCCATCATAGGCTCTTAACTCTATCAGTCATGATGATATGGGATCTCGGAATCACCCACAGAAGGAAGAGTCATTTTTACTTTAAGATATCAGAAAGTTTCGAACGTAGCAAGAAAGTTTAAAAAAAGAGAGCTCAGAATTGAGTGAAATTATAAACACGCTGTGTGCAGTTCCAGATGAGTCAGTGTATAAATAGAACAATTGGTGGACAGGGCCTCAGTGGTGTAATTTCTGTCTCTTGGATGTGCTGTAAATCACCCCATGTGAGCAGTAATATCCCACATAGCAATCAGTCTCTGTGGAGTACATTGTCAGATCCACCATGTTACACAACACCGAGATCTTTCTTGGCTTCAGCCTGGTGTGTCTTTTTCTTTTCATATCCAGCAGTTAGTACTAAGGCTTGAAACCCTTAGTTACAGAACAAAGTGGCTCAGGAGTAATGGAGCCTGTGTGAGGCTCGGAGAATAATGAACGAGCCCAGCATGCTTCCTGCCTAGATGCAGGTGCAGAAATCAGGAGATCATGAATAATACATGGCATGCAGATCAGACGGTAGTTTATGCTACTGGGTGTTTGACTCTGCTACCTGTCTGGCTGCTATATGTGGAAAGAGGCTGGTAGCAGAGGCACTACAATTTAAATGGAACTACCCCAAACGCAGCACGTCCTTTTGAAGAAGTGAATTGTAAATGATAGCTGACATGTAATAGTTGTCGGCATTTTGGGATGAAGTAAGCACCTTCAGAGAAAGAACATATTTCTGGATTCCTACTCTGAGTTTAAGAAATGTTACAGTCACTGGGTCATACAGATAATCAGAAGGTTTTTTTTGTGTTTGTTTGTTTTTCTTTTTCCCTAAGATTGCTAAACCATGATGGAAATTATGCATTTAGAGTATTTCATCTAGGATCACCAAATTTTTTTTCGCAAAGACACCAAAGTCTAGAAGGCTTTGTAATTACGGAATAATGAAGCCCAGTCCCCTTCCCCTATGTACACATGAAGTGTAAAATGGGAGGTGATAAGATTCTGTGGTCATACAGCTGCTATGAGGAAGACACAGTTTCTGTGCACTTTCAGGCTTAAGGAGACCAACAGCAAAGGGGTTAAGCATTTAAAGGACTTCATACATAGTAGAGAGTGAATCCTTGGGGCAGATGACTTCTGGAAATGTACTTTAACTCTTAGGACCAGGGCCTCAGCGAGGGGCTCTGCAGTTCTTGACGGTCCCCTGCAGCTTTCCTCTGGTCCGTGGTGACTTTACCTGGTTATCTGGGAAGTCACTTTTGACTCAGATGTTCATCTTGCAGATTCTATTTCAAGAAGGCAAGAAAAATGAGTTTTGTTACCTCTTATGTAAGTCTTAGGTCTCTCTCATCCGTGTATGCACATGTGAGAGACATAAATATGTATCTTGAGGTGCTGCAGTATGAGCGGCCTTTCTTTTCTAGCTGAGGCTGATGTCATTTCCGCCAGGCCGCAGTTTGGGCAGATGCCAAGACCAACAGGTGACCCTTGTAGCTGAAGAACAGCAGGAAGTGGGCCTTGCTTGGATGAGGCAGTTCAGCCGAGGGGCTGTCTGGCCTCTCTCCATCTTTCTGCATAATTATCGCCCCCTCCCCCATGCAGAGCAGAAAATCTGTGCAGAGCGGCTCAGCTGCAGCCACCACTGAGAAGCCTGTGAGAAAGGGAATGCTAATCAGAGATGGTAGAGGAAATGCACATCAAGTAAAAAGTGCAATCCAGCTCAGGTTTGGGAAAGATGGCTCCCCTCCTCCCTGCCCCTCCCAAAAGGCTGGCCTGCCATATCTGTTTTGACGTGATTTTTCACTGAGTTGCAGTGAGGGGCTGGAGTTCAAATTGTACCTGGGCTACTGGTTTTAACCAGGCCTTCTGACCATTAAGATCATTTTGTTTCTTCCTGTGTCCTTCCTAGATTCCTTCCCCTTCTCCTCTCCTCCCTCCTCCCTGTGAATAAAAGCAATGTGTGGAGTGTGAAGAGTGAAGATGACTCAAGCGAAAAGAATGACCAGATCTCAGGACTCCTAGGCAAGCAGTCAAAGCAAGCAGTGAGGCACCAGGCAGCTGGGGCATAGCATAATGCTTCCTGGGCCAGTCCTGGGCCAGCCACGATGGAGGATACCAGCAGCTGCTGGAAGCTTTAAGCTCCAGCCCTGTGTAACTCCAACCTAGGAAGCTTAGAATGCTACTTATTTACTTCTATTACCTGGCTAAAGTTTTGGTTTCACTCCTTCCTTAACTCAGATATAAAGCATAAATTCCAGAAAGCCTGTCTGCTGGACATAAGTGTCTACCCTTCCGCCCTGCCCTGTTCACACACACCCCATTCCTGGACACTTGGATGAAGCCTCACTGTTTCCTTGACTTTTACACTCAGTAACGGACTGAAAGTGTGGCCACTTCCCGGTCTCTTTGTGCAGTTTCTATGGGAACCGACATGAGAGGGCTCAGCGAAGGCAGGTATCATGGCCTCCATGCTATTTTATGCACTCTTACCCCCAGGCAAGGATTACATCTTCAGTAACTGTGTCTTCTGCTAAAGGAGTACATTTGTTCATTGAAACCTGTGGTACTGCATTTGGGGACCACAACAGTGAACACCTTCTGCTTTGTTACCTTGGGAGAGATAAAGAAAGAAGCCGTCCAGGTTACAGACACAGGGATTTAATTTCCTCTATTTACTAAGAGATGGTCAAGCTCACAGGAGAGAACAAATGAAGTAAACCAAAGAGCTCATTGATAGAGCGGATACTTCCCGACTTCCCGTTTGCCGTCCATATTATGTTTTCTCGATCACTGACTTCCTTTTGTCTCTCAACAGGGTACATCCATCCCCAGTATCCAGGGTCCGGGGAAACCGAATGAGTAACCAGAAGTTTTCTTGGTGAGTACCCAAGTTAAGTGAGAAACATTCATTAGTTTTTTTTATTGCTGTGGATGTTTTATTTTGTTTATTGAAGCAGTGTCTCATGCATCCCAGACGAGCCTGGAATAAACAAACAAAAACACTGACACAGTTCATTCACCAAAAACACTCTGCCCAGCGTTTTTTCACTAACAGATGTACTCAACTTCCCAAGATGACCCAACTCACCTTTGAAAACAGTGGTTCCCTTTTAAAACATGACTCATTTAATCAGACTATTCTTAGGTGTCACCGTCAGCTTCTCATGAAAAATTCTAGTTAATTAATTTATTTATTAACTTACTAATACATTGCAATTATCATAAAATTAGCAAATTAATAAATAAAATGTATTCATCTTCAGATGTCCTCCCTCCCCTTCTGCCTTGACCTTGATATCTATTGACTTTGAGGAGGTGGGGAGGACTGAATGCAAAGGTCTTGAACAGAACTCTCAGTGGAACTCCCCAGAAATAGTGTGAAATTATTTCAGCCACATTTGATAAATGATTCTTTGAAGAGACAACTTAAAGGACTTCAAAATTGTTTTATGTGAAACCAAAAAACTAGATTAATATTGGTTCAAAACTCTACTTCTTTGTATTACTGCACAAAATTAGCCTTTCAATTCATAATACATCATGGGAAAGAAGAAAGAAGGAAAAATGAAGAAACTGAGCCGTGTACTGTTACTTCAAAAAACGGGTAAAATTCATAGATCTTTGTCTTACTCTTTTAGATTACGCCTAGAACAGGATTTTGATCGGAAACTATGTTTGGTTTTTTTTTTTAATGTGTTAAGATGAGTCACTGAGATTCTACTTCATATTAATGCAATTCCTAAACCAAGATTATTTTTTTTAGGAATACAAATGGCACTTTGAACAGTACCTACCTGGTCAGTTGGCCCCCATTCCCCCAGTAAATCTAATTAGCCCGCACAATAGCCTGGTGCTCTTGGAAAATACTATCTTTGCTTTTTCACAGAGAGGGAAATGGAGGCCAGAGGATGAAGCCTTTTATTTGTGCCCAAAGGTTGGGCATCCCTGATGGTCACTCTCAGTCTTTAAAGCATGATGTCCCCTGTCAGACCTGGAATGATGAGAGAATAACAAAGCCAGGGGATACAGAATGAAAGCAAAGGAGACACAGGTCCAGTGTCAACTCCATAGCAATTGTATTCCTTCTTAGTTGAAAGCACATTATACCAAGGAAACTTTACTCCACGAAGAGGGAACATGAGATGCTCAAGTAAGCAACATGAGCTGAAGATCCTAGAGGACACTGTCAGCCCTGAGGTCCAGTTTCTGCCCCATTGCTCTGAAGGGCTGAATGGGAAAAATCTAGTAGATATTACATTTTCTTTCTCTCCCTTCCCCTTTCTATACAAGAAGCAAAGACAATTTGTTCCTACAGAATTTGTAGCATGTCAGTTGGTTGGTAAGTTTAAACTACTTTTATCTGTAAATAAGTAATCCATGAAAATAACCGAAAGGGATTTTACTACTAGCCCAGAGAAAATTCAGCTCATGTTTATGTAACATTTATTTTTGTCCCAGGCGGTATTACAAGCACTAGATTAGAAAGATAAATAAACCATGGTTTCTATCCTCAGAGGGCTAAGTGCCTTCTAGGGGAGGGGTGTATGCGTTCATGTTACACACGCCGAGAGTGAATGCTCTTAAGTCCTGATAGTCTCCTAACTGCTTCCTGGACCTACCTACATACTGCTATCACATTCATGCTCACGTACATGTCAGATAAGCTTAGATTCTCTAATGCAATGTAGACAATACTCTGTGGACATGTGTTTGCAATTCGGTGTTCAGAATGGCCACCTATCACCTTTATTTAAGACCACCTGGAGAGTTGTAGGAAGGAAGAGAACTAAACATCAACTCCAAAACCTGAGGCTGGATCATAGTGGTAGAGCTCTTGCTGAGCACACTCAAAAGTTCTGGATTTGATTCTCAGTGCTGCAAAAACAAAAGAAGAGAATCCATCCCTGACAAGAAAACTGGGGTAAAGACATATTGTTAGTAGGGAAAACAGAGCTTCTGTGTCCTTTATAGATGAAATCAGACACAGAAGAAGATGAAGACATTTCTAAATTGATTCTAACAGGAGTGCTGATGGATCGACTGTAGAAACTTGTTTGGCCATGCGCTAGCTAAAATGTCTATGATCTATACTGCCTTGAATCTTCCTTAGGTAAATACTGTGACTCTGGTGTAGGGATAAATCACCTGCAAGGAAGGATGCATGAATCACCCAGCATCTACTCCTAGTGAAGTGATAAATGGCTGATACTTGGTTGTGAAATATTGACTATGAAAAAGTCAGAAAGTTTAACTACTTCCCATCTAGCAGTGGTGAGAACGAGCAGGAGATATTTGCTCTCTTCAAAATAGAAGTCGGGGATAATTTGTAGAATTTGATGTCAAGATCATCACAACCTTGGCTCTGGCTTCCGCTAGAGCCTCAAATAGTATACAGAAGAGTTAAGACCTATGAATTTGTGCATTTGGGTTAGCAAATGCTCCAATCAGTTAAAGCTGTTCATCAAATAAGCAATTAAAATCCATAGAAAATGAAAAGGCTTGAACTTCCTCTGTGGGAGTTAGATAAAACTCCACTCAGGAGGTCCTGGAAGACAATGGCTGTGCCCAACGGGTCCTAAGCCACTGTCTATTACTGAGTAAAGTGAGTTTAAACATTTTTAAGTAGCATTTTCCTACGTGTAATGCTGACACAAGGAAGCATCCACTGGCTACTTTCATGGAATCAGTACTGTGGAGGTGTTAGACCCCCAGAAAACCCAGGTATCCGGGGTCCCTAGCCACGACCTTGATCACCCCAATCACCAGGCAGATTCCAGAGCTTGCTGCAAACTGCATGAGGCTTTATTGTTTTTTTTTAATGAGCTAACCCCATGTTAGCTCGGGTCTTTCACCCACCCCCCATGGTGGATGGCTTGCAAAAGACAGCTCCTAGGGGCTCCTGAGAGATCTTGTAGGGCAGCATAAGGGGAGTTTCGAGGGGTATGCACAGGCTCAGGATTGGTGTGCCTTCCAGGCTTGGAGGGCTTACCCTGTGTTGATTGGCCAACTGGCTGTTATGGCCCATAGGCTCTCCCAGGTGGTTGCTATGCTCTGCGTGTCATTGCTGTGCACTTGTCCGTAAAGTACACCCAGGGTTGTAAAGCATAGTGCTACCAGCTAACTTCTGATTGGTTCCTTGTCACGAGGCAGGCACCTAACCTCTAGTGACTAAGACAAGGTCATAGCAAGCACGTGTTACTGTCATGGCTGCCAAAATGGGGGGCTGATCCCTTCAGAGATGAAGAAACATGTGGGCAGGAATGTCTTTCCAAAGCAAACAACATCTGCCAAAGCCAAAAGAAAATGCATTAACACTGTGAACACACCCAGAGAGGAACCAGAGCACCAGTGCGCTTCTGGGTCCCATGACATATGTTAGGATGCAGCCAGGTTTGAGCTACATGTTAACTTTCATGGAGTCAGGAAAGGCAGGGCTCTTACAAGGATAGAAACATAACTGTAAAGAAGGTCTGGTCATTGTATGATTCATGTCATAAAGAACCAGCTGAGGGAAGCAGACTGGCCCAGATACAAGCTCCATCCTCCTCACAGCCACCAACCACACTGTGGAGTAGTCGATGATTGGGACATTGTTAACCCTTTGGGCTGCAGGTGTGTGAATTTCTCAGTATCACAAATTGGACCTCTCCTCTGTGTTTCACTAATGCCCCATGCAAGGAGGTGTCAGTAAACTGTTACAGGACTAAGAAAAAAACCATTTTCCTTTTACTACCATCTCTTAAATTCGTTGGCAGAGACCCTGTCATCTTAGCTAACAACCAAGAGGCTTTTATAAGAAAAGTGAAGACAGGTTAATGAACACATTCCCTGTACATTCATGGGGGAATATGTCCAGATAAGTGGCTCTGAATGTGTGCACTTTGGAACTCAGGCTTCCGTAGTATCTATAGCATCTTACCAGAGGGGGTTTTTGTTTGTTTGTTTTGTTTGAAGAGGTGATGATACAAAGAGAGAGGACTTTGGGCTTCTAGGGAAGGCAAGTTATGGGATGATGTGTATGTAGGGGACTCTAATGCAAGGGGAAGTGCTTAAGTGGGTTCTACCAGTGTCATCCCTGGATTAGCGCAAGTTGTCTCTCCTGGTTGAAATAACCCTGTTCTTCTGAGCAGATAGGGAGTACAGAGAGATTTTCTCAAATATGCTTTGTAAGATTTACTTGTGTGTGTGTGTGTGTGTGTGTGTGTGTGTGTGTGTGTGTGTGTGTGTGTGTGTGTGTGCAGGCATCCATAGAGAACCGACGACACTCTCTGGCCTTTCAAGCTGGACTTACAGGCTACTGTGAGCCACCCAACATGGGTACTGGATCCAAACCTGGGTCCTCTGGAAGAGCAGCAAATGCTCTTAACATACTTAACGGTCTCTCCAGCCTGTGTCTGCTTTTCATCTCCCTTGTGTCACGTGGATTCTTATGCATCTACTTTTTTTCATCTGCCTTGTGTAACAGGGATTCTTTTGCTGAACTGCTATATGTTAAGGTATCTTGCTCTGATACCTTTCACTGTATAAATCTTCTTTCAGAATGTTTACTTTCCTCTCTTGGACATGGTAACACAAGGAAAACAAATTTGCAATCTTTCACGCAAATGGGGATAGTTCCCTATTAAAACACTGAATGTGAAGTTAGATTTTCACTCATTATAGACATTTTTGCTAGAAGATTTATCAAATTCACAGCAAAGTGGCCATTTCCAAGACTGATTTCCACCATTATGTTTTCAAAGGTACAATACAAATCTGGGATCTGTGTGTTTGGGTGTGTGTGTTGGTACGATGGTACCAGGAGGGTTCTGTGTGGATTTTTGTGAAGTAGACACCAGAGTTGGTTGAGAGCTGCAGATGCTTTTAAGATGTGGTGAA